TTTTTTTTTTTTTTTTTTATTTTGGGCTTAATTTTTATTTTTCAATTTTGGGCTCAATAGAAATTATTTGGGCCTAAAAATTAAGAAAAACAACAATAATGAAATAAAAAATATATAATTATAGTTTACTCAAAAAATTAGGAAGATAAGGTGGGAAAATCTGAAAATGAAAAAACGAATGTGGAAAAAAGTCAAAGTTATAATGCTACAAATTAAGCCAACAAAAGGTCAAAAAGTGAAAGTGAATGTATTGTATTTATCGGTCATAGTGAATGACTAAAGGTATATATATATATATATTTTTTTTTAATATTTACCGGTCCGATCCGATTAAACCGGCGGTTTGCCGCATGTAATCCGTTCACCGGACCGGTTATTGCGGATTTTTAAAAAAAATTAACTACCGGAATTTTTAAGGCTTTTTTAACCGACCATTTTACTGATCCGCGATCCGGATTAACAGTTTTTCGATTAAAACCGGACCGTAAACACCCCTAGCTAAAATAAATCATACTAAATTGTTTAAAAATAAAAATAAAAAATAAAAAAAGATGCCGTTTATACCTCGACAATTCTTTCTAAAATTAAGAACCTCAATAATTTGTTACTCTATGTAACTATAGGTTTTCTTTTAGCAATTTTACAGCTAATGAAATCTGTGTTATTAATTTAGCCTACCATTTACAATATATCTTTGTTATTCTATGAGAACCAACTATACGTACCTCGTGCGATGCACGAGCTGTATTGTTTTGGTAAAGTTTATAATTGAAGACTATTAATCAATAAGTTATAATAATACATACAACATTTGTTAGGTAGTCGTAAAATGTTCATCATGAAAAGGTCATACATTATTAAAAATCTTTTTTGCAAAATTATTTTTCACTTGGCAACTGTAGATCGGTATTTACCAATATTGCTCTTCACTTGGTAATTGCGAATTGCATAGACACCTCATTTCTTCAATTTTTTGTTGATTTTCGTAATGTTATCACCACAAAATAAAAATTATAGTGAAATATATAGTATTGTGATAAATGCTAAAGATATGAACTATCTGTGAAGTTTAATTTTATATAGAATATAAGAAGAGTTATGAACTTAATGTGTGGATTTTGAGTATATCTTTCTTTTTTCAACCATTTTCTTTTTTCTTTTTTTTTTTTGCCAAATTCATTCCAATATTGAGAACAATTTTGTTATTGTTATGTTTTAACAGTGATTTGGAATTTTGATTGTATCTTTTGTAAAACAATATTTACAAAATAATTATATTAAAAAAAACAACAACGATATGTTATCATTTGTAACTCAAAACTAACTAAATGAATCGGATGACATGTAAATCACTGTTTTAAATGAAAGAATATTTCATAAATAAATTGATAAATAAAATGATTCAAAATGATAAAAAAATCATCGTGATAATATAAACAAAAAAATTTTACATGATTAGTGGAATAGTGAATCGAAATTGTGGCAATTTTAAATAACATGTTACCATGATTGAAATGAAATCTTTAAAATATTTTTTACTTTTAGTTAAGTTGCATATATCGCATAACTATATGTGAAAAAAAAGTTAAAATATGCGATTTATTTATATGTATATAATAAAATGTACAGTGTAAATAATTAAATTTTATTTAGCATTTGTATTATTAATATTGATACTACATTTATCGTAAAATCTTAGTCTAATTTTTACGGAAAATTTTATTATATTAAAATGAAAATGATAAGTCTAAAAAGAGATATAGATTGAATTAAAAATATTGAATCGTGATTAAATTATTTGATTCTATAATTATACTGCTTTTGAAAAGATAATCCTTAATATTTGATTCCATAACAATAATGCTTTTAAATAAGATTGATTCCAAACATCTGAATTTAGTGTTTAATCAAATATTATTATGGAGTATCTTTTTAAAACAATAAATCCAGAATTGTTTATGAAAGTTAAAACTGATTACAATTAATGCTTCCATATTTTTTTAAGGAATTGTGTAAAATTACTATAATTTAAGATTTAATTAATGCATAATGACAGGGAAATGCTTACTATATTTGATTTAAGTCTATTTATAGGGAGATGTTACGATCTCGTTACGAAACCATTCCGTCGGAGTTTATAACCGTTAGATCAACTATCCCTGACGGTTACATGATGATCTAACGGTTACAAACCTCGACGAAATGGTTCCGAGTGTAGCATGTCCCATATTTATATATATAGATGGACAATTATTGGAGCCAAAAAATAAAATAATATTGAAATAATGTAATAAAAAACTCCCCCATGAAAGCCCTTTTATAGTCAAAGTCTGGAAGGCAGCGGTCCTGAGCGCATGTTCTTTTGCCTTAGTTTTTAGCAGCAAGCAGACATTATGTAAGTTCACCTCATTCGATCACAGCCATCAATCAGATCAATGGCCACTGTTCTCTCTAGATTCTCCACCCTTGGATCCTCCCCCCACACGCCCACTATATAAACCCCACACCCACCACAACATCACTACTGCAAAACACAACAACAAAAAAAATACACACACACACACACACACGTCGGATTGTGATCGAGCGTTAGCTTTAGCTTCGCTCTCCTTTTCTCGTACCAAAAAAAAAAAAAAATGGCAGGCCACAAGAAGCAGCAGAAGAAATCCTCCTTCTCTAGTCTCTTCACTTTGTTCAAGGGACTCGGTTCGCGGGGCCGGGCCAGAGACGAGGCCAGGGACGAGTACGTGAAGGCTTACAAGGTTTACCCGAGCGACGAGGATAGAGGCCGCTGGGTGGCCGAGCCCGGGATTGATAAAAAGGCATCCGCTTATATTTCGCTCACTACCGATAAATGGGAAAAGCTAGCAGTTGCTAATTAACTAGCTACTCATCACTCTTTCATATATCATCACTTTGATCCTTTCTAATTTGTTTCATTGATGTTGTTAGTGGTGTGTTTATGGATTTTTTTCTTTTCTTCTTTT